ACAATAATCTGAAAGTAGAGAGTATGAGAGCATTTGCTAGTGCAATATAAAACCCAGCCTCACAATTCTCAAACATTCTCAAGTAAAATAATCCCCTTAACTCATTTACTTGATTCACATACACTAAAGTACAGTAAATAATGTTAATAATGGCATCAAAACTACAGTTAAACTCTATGTTAACTAGATGCACTTAATTAGCAACAGTTAGTGACGTAATTGCCATACAGTCTTGTGAACTTAACTCCTCCTCCCTTCTCTGCTAAACTTATGTAACCATCTTTTAGTTGTTAACTGTTTCATAAGAGCTATACGCGCTTAAAGAACTATTTATTGAAGAACAGTAATATATGATAACTTTAAAGTATCTTGTAATTATAAAGCGGGAATAGTTTGCTCAGACACATTATACACCCTAAAATTCCTCTTGTATTCTTTCTCACCTTCCTCTCCTCCTACATCAAACCTTCATATGTTTGTCGTTTATTTTACCCAAATCAATTTTATAAGTAATAAAAAGTATACAACTTTTTAATTTAATTATAAGTATTCCTTTATAGTTTTTTCTACGATCATAAATCACCTGTGTAGGTAGAGTATGAAGGCTGATGGAAATTGCAGGGGTAAAACATTGTGAAAATCTGATCTTATGATATTATAATGACGTATCTATACGTGCTTTGTACTCTAAGAAATTAATTATCTTTTGTAACCGTAAATATGCCACCAAAACATCCGCTGTGTTGGCGCGAGTTGTTCTCCACTTTGTGTCTACGATGCTACACATGAGCCGCTTGGTCCTAGCGTACTCTCACGTCAGCAAAAAAAGGGTTATACCAATCCACACCGCTTCAAGAAAGTTGTTTTCATTGGTACCAGATATCAAAGTAAATACTTTCGTTTAATATTCGTTTTTATCCCAATAGGTATTTCGGATTTTCTACCATTAACACAAGGATTCTTTTTTAGGTTGGGTTAAGTTAGGTTAGGTCAATTAAGAAACACCATAATACACTAGGTTAGGTTAGGTCAATTAAGAAACACCATAATACATTAGGTTAGGTTAGGTCAATTACGAAACACCATAATACACTAGGTTAGGTTAGGTCAAGTAAAAAACACCATAATACACTAGGTTAGGTTAGGTCAATTAAGAAACACCATAATACACTAGGTTAGGTTAGGTCAATTAAGAAACACCATAATACACTAGGTTAGGTTAGGTCAATTAAGAAACACCATAATACACTAGGTTAGGTTAGGTCAATTAAAAAACACTTCAATTAAGACACCATAATACACTAGGTTAGGTTAGGTCAATTAAAAACACCATAATACACTAGGTTTGGTTAGGTCAATTAAAACACCATAATACACTAACACACTAGGTCAATTAAGGTTAGGTTAGGTCAATTAAAAACACCATAATACACTAGGTTAGGTTAGGTTAATTAAAAACACCATAATACACTAGGTTAGGTTAGGTCAATTAAAACACCATAAAACACTAGGTTAGGTTAGGTCAATTAAAAAACACCATAATACATTAGGTTAGGTTAGGTCAATTAAAAAACACCATAATACACTAGGTTAGGTTAGGTCAATTAAGGTTAGGTCAATTATAATACACTAGGTTAGGTTAGGTCAATTAAGAAACACCATAATACACTAGGTTAGGTTAGGTCAATTAAAAAACACCATAATACACTAGGTTAGGTTAGGTCAATTAAGAAACACCTTAATACACTAGGTTAGGTTAGGTCAATTAAAAAACACCATAAAACACTAGGTTAGGTAAGGTCAATTAAGAAACACCATAATACACTAGGTTAGGTTAGGTCAATTACGAAACACCATAATACACTAGGTTAGGTTAGGTCAATTAAAAAACACCATAATACACTAGGTTAGGTTAGGTCAATTAAGAAACACCTAATACACTAGGTTAGGTTAGGTCAATTAAAAAACACCATAATACACTAGGTTAGGTTAGGTCAATTAAAAAACACCATAATACACTAGGTTAGGTTAGGTCAATTAAAAAACACCATAATACACTAGGTTAGGTTAGGTCAATTAAGAAACACCATAATACACTAGGTTAGGTTAGGTCAATTAAAAAACACCATAATACACTAGGTTAGGTTAGGTCAATTAAAAAACATCATAATACACTAGGTTAGGTTAGGTCAATTAAAAAACACCATAATACACTAGGTTAGGTTAGGTCAATTAAGAAACACCATAATACACTATAATAATAATATCTCATACCAATTAGGGAAAATGGGATAAAAATTAATCTTGACGGCAATTTTTCAGTTTAACATAGCGGAAGGTTCGGCTGGAAAGTCAGGTAAAGTTAGGTAAGATTCTTTGGTTGGTTAGGTTCTGTTCTCCAGGATTTCACTTATAGATTAACCATCTTACCGCTAACTTAAATAAATCCCTCCCAGATAGCGTTAAGCTGGTTAATCTTCAGGTGGAATAAGCTGGGGTATCTAATCTCCAGGTAATCCAAGAAAGTGTACCATTTATCTAGATATTTCACATTCATGGCATTATTTCTATATCCCTAATTATCGTAATACACAATAGCAAAAAATATCAATAATATAGTATAATAATTGCCAAGCGTTAACAGATACAATGATTAATGTAATAAACCGAAATTATAATCATTGCAATATAACATCAGAATAATATTTAGGTAAAGACTCGACGATCATTACCAGAAATAATTGTTAATGTTAATAGCTTAGTTGTGGTTGTTACTTACCGTGGCTGTTTATATTTCCCGTCTTCTGTCATTAATGGCTGCCGGTTATTTTCACTGAGGTTATATATACAGCTTTGAAATTCTGCCAAATTTGCATTACCTTTCTTAAAAAAACATAATGATTACAGTTATTCGATAAAAATTGTACTTATAGTTTCAATGTTATATTTCTTTATTCATTCAGTATACTCTATAGTGAATTGTTCCATGAATTATAAAAGTATGAGATTGTTTTATTTCCATTAGTTATTTTGAGTACGCCTTATTGATAAAGCATCGATTTACATCAATATTCAGAAAAGTAGATCTTATTATTTATTATTTCTGTTCAATATCTCTTCAAATAATGAATTAGAGAACAATATTGTGGTATTTCAGAGTTATTTTGACTGGACGTAATTAGTGCGTGAAATTCAAAGAAAACTTTTTTGTTTTAGGGGTAACTATCTTATTTTTATTTATCCTTCATTTTCAATTAAACAATTTTTTTTATTATCCAAGTCATTCAACTACAAATATTTTCATTTGAATCTTCATCTGTGTGTACAGTTTATTAATATTTTTTTTTATACCTGTATTAACTGTCACGATTTATAAATGTATACAATTTGTTTTTAATTTACCGTTTCACCTCTTATCATTTTACTTGGCATTCGGGCGGTTGGTCTTTCTTTTCTTACTTTGTTATGACATGTATTGTTCAGTGTTAGTACAGGAGGAAATTGGGGTAACCAAAGAACACTTGCCATACTTGTTTAGGTCACACTGGATAACACATCTGTCCGGCTCGAACCCAAGACACACGTGAGAGATACGCGCGTTACCACTGTATACTTCAGGTTAAGGATATAGGTAGTAAGTGCAGGTTGTTGAAGCCACCACATACACGAGTAAGTTTAGGTTCCTATGGAGATATATATTTGATTTCCTGACCAGAGAGGCCACATCACATTACATTTCTCAATAAAATATTTAAACTTATTTATTATTTGTAATATCCTGGGAATTTTATTACAGTATTATGTACTTATATGGTATGTCCATTTACTCATGTTGTATTTTATTGTACATGTGATGAATTTCTATATAAATTAATCAATCAAACACTAGTAACGCGCGCGCTCTTTCTTGACCAAACGACAATCAAATTACTCTTAATTTCTCGTAACCAGTTGTAACGACCTGTACTATTTTCACTTAATTACCAGTATCTTGTCACCTCAACGAGAGATGGGCAAACTCTATTTTTAGCCCAAATAAAAATCGCCACTTGTATGACCTCAGAAAAATTACTGAGTTATCTCCTTACCCAACCAAACACTGCATTACCTTGACACAAGTTTGATCCAGGGGAGCGGGGACTATCCCTTCATTAAGACCTTCGGATGCAAATTAAAATATAATGACCAAAATTCCTGTATCGCACTGAAGACATACATATTAGTCAACGTTGCCGAGCAAAATATAGTGGGAACCTTACCTAACTTAACGTAACTTAAGTTTAACCTAACATTACCATAACTAATCACCCTCACTTAACTCCCCAGGTCGCGTTAGGGTGTTTAATAATCAGGTGAAATAAGCTAGGGTGTCTAATCTTCAGGTCATGTCATGATAGTGGCGAGCGTGAGTGATTATACCAGCACTGGAACCGTCGCATGCCCAGTACTTGCCAACTGTGTGTGTAACAGGGAATGAACAACTGCCTGAACAGCTAGTAAGTTGACAAGTGGCGAAAAGGATAAAATATAATCGTTCATAATTCACCAAAAATCTTCGTCCATTAAGGTCACAAGTAACGTGAGTATTTTTAACACACTTGGGCAATAAACAAGATACAAAGCATGCACTAATGCTAGATAAATGTCATGGTTTACTTACAATGAAATCTTAGTAAATTCTAGCATTATATTACCCATATAAACAATTTGTAACTAAAGAAAGTAATATTATTCTACAAGTTTGTCTGGTGGGGAGAGTTACCTTCGCTATTGAGCTACAATCATACTTTAGCGACAAGATGACTAAGAAAAATCCAGCATTGAGTTGATATTATAGAATTCATACTTACATATTAGTATATATATTCCTTAAGTAAATTATATAAAGTAAATATATTAAATTGCAATGTAAAGATAGGGAATAATCAATTTAATTTTCCCGCTGTGGGGTGAGATACGCAGAACCCGTCTCACCTGTTCCCTCCCCATCAGCTGTTTGTTTGAGAAGACCAGGAGAAAGAAGTTGAGGGGCATAGTACTCAAACATTAGGTCATACTACGCTCCTCAAGATGTCTTCACGGTATTTAGTTAAGAAAAGATATAAGAACCTTTCCAGATATCGCCTCTACAAGTCAGAAATCAGCGGCCATGATACAAATACGATGTTCATGGTAAGGTGATGGGGGTCATGATGTGAACTTGGCTCTGGTAATATTTTTGAAAAGGATTATTTACCTGTTGCCCTATTTACTCTATAAACCCCTTTTTTATAATCATTATATTAACTAAGTGTAAGATCTCTTAAGATATTGTGTTATGCAAGATTGATTTTTGAGGATTTTTGTTTATCTTATAGGGATGTTTATCTCAGCTTCAAGTTATCATAAAACACCTGCGATATTTATTCTTGGAACAGTATGGGAATAATGATGGATGTATGTCGTGATCTGAGTTATAACTGAGTGTTTGTCTTGATCTGTATGGTGTAATAGAAAGTGTTTGTCTTAATCTTTGGTAAATGTTTACAACAGTAGCATCACTGCCTGGGGTACTGTTTACTGAACACCTGTTACTGAGTTGTTGGTGATCCTGTGTTGGAACTACAACCATAACTTTCCATTTTTCTATCCACAGTATTTGATAATACCTAAGTCTTCTTGTGCTCTCTGAAATGGTAGTGTAGTGGTATTTCTTCCAATTTTTTCCACAATTATTAAAGATTACTTCTTAATGCAGAAACAGGTTGTGGAAATTGGCAAAAAGTACATGTGGACATAAATTCATTTGTTAAGTTTATGTTTGACAAGCAACCTCCAGTGTTTAATTAGAAATGGTACCTGAGACTATGGTATTGAACCATTGGGAAAGCTCAAGTTTAGCGTTACACTCTTATTAGTTAACTTACAACAGTGATGTATATATAAAATTACTCTTCTCGTGTAATAGATAGCCTTTCAAGATGTGATTTGCGATTCCCATTACTTTGAATTGACTCATATGAAGCAGCAAGCAGGCTTTGGCCTCCATTCCTTAGGTATTTCAGTAAATTGACAAGAACCATCATTGAACTACAGTACTGTATATCAGACTCAGCAGGAACAAACGCTGAATGTTGCCATACTTTAATATTTATCATTCATTGGTTTGTTCCTGTTTAATCAGACCTCGTTACTAATGGTTTTTATCAGCGTCCAAGTGTTGAAGGCACAGAAGTTGTGGCCTTGTAGCCTCTTCATGATATTTATTTCAAGGATATGGGAACATGCAATCATCTCTTGAAATGGATTCTAGCTAATTTACTGTGATGTACGAAGAAAGCTGGTGGCCTGTGTAAGAACCCCCAATGTTCCTTGCGATATTGTCCAGGGCTATTTTTAAGGCTAGTGATGTTCTTGTTTCCATGGATTCAGCTAGTAGACTGTTCCATAGGAGAACCATCCTCTGTACAAAGAAGCATTTTGTTACATTTGTTTTTCATGAAAGTTAGTGAGCCTAAAACTATGATCTCTTGTGTTTAAACAAAACATCTTGAACAAGTGACTGTTAGAATTTCCTCTCACTTCAGGCATTTGAATGTTTCTATGAGGTCTACCTTGTTAAACATAAGAACATAAGAAAATAAGGCATCTGCAATAGGCCGGTTGGCCTGTGCATGGCAGCTCCTGTCGAGAGTTACTACCACTCTCTATCATCCATGAATCTATCTAGCCTCCTTTTGAAACTTTCCAGAGTTCCCGCACTTACTACAAAGTTGCTAAGCTTGTTCCACTCGTCCACCACCCTATTTGTGAACCAGTTTCTTCCTATCTCCCTCCTAAACCTAAACTTATCCAATTTGAATCCGTTGCTCCAAGTCCTATCCTGCTCGGATATTATAAGAACTTTATCTATATCCCCTTTATTGATTCCTTTCACCCACTTAAATACTTCTATCATATCTCCCCTTTCTTCGTCTCTGAGAATCAAATTTTAGTTTTTCTTTCAACCTATCCTGATATGGAAAGGATTTCTAAGTCCCGGAATCATTTTGTCATTCTTAAGCTGCACTGACTCTATGATAATTTATATCCATTCTATTAGGGCACCAGAACTGAACTGCATAATCGAGTTTAACGGCCCCTGACTAGCGCAAGATATGGTTGCAATAAGACCTCTGCACTCTTGTTACTTACCACTTCCTGAATGCAAACCCAATGCTTTCTGTTTGCCTTAATTCGAACATTTGCGCACTGTTTTCTAGGCTGTAGGTCCAGGCTTACAAGTACCCCTAGGTCTCTTTCACAAGTCGAATTCTCTAGGTTGATGTTGTTTAGGCTATATACATTATCAGTATTTGTTCTTCCAATATTAAGTACGCTGCACTTGCTGGTGTTGAATTTCATTTGCCATTTTTCAGACCACCCTTGCAGTTTATTTAGATCCTCCTGTAATGCATTTGCATCCTGCCCTGAATTAATTTGCCGCCCTATTTTGGTGTCATCCGCAAACTTGCTTATGCACTGCTGATCCCAGTATCTAGATCGTTTATGTAGATTATGAACAAGAGTGGGCCTAGTACTGACCCTGGGGAACCCCACTGGTTACACGGCCCCACTCAGATTTAACACCATCTACGCTGACCCTCTGCGTTCTATCGGTGAGCCATGATTTTATCCAATTTAAAACTTTCCCCTCGATACCATGAGCCTTAATTTTTCTCAGAAGCCTCTGATGCGGTACTCTGTCAAATGCTTTGCTAAAGTCTAAGTAAATAACATCGTAATTTTCGTCATTATCTACTACCTCGAAGACTTTCCTAAAAAATGTTAGCAGATTTGTTAGACAAGATTTTCCCTTTGTAAACTCATGTTGAGAGTCGTAGATTAATTTTCTTTTCTCTAGATGCGATCGGATGCTATCTGCTATAATTGATTCAAGAAATTTCCCCACTACTGACGTCAAACTGATCGGCCGGTAATTTGATGCTGATGCTCTGTCTCCCTTTTTGAATATGGGTACTACATTTGCCTGTTTCCACAAGTCTGGCACAACTCCAGTGTCTAATGATTTTGTAAATAAGTTTACGAGGGGTCCGCTAATCTGTTCCCTAAACTCTTTCAAGACTCGAGGGAAAATTTCATCCGGCCCTGGGGATTTTGTTTTCTTTAGTTTATTTATCTTCTTAAGAACATCCTCTCTTCTGAAAGTGATATTCTTTAATTTCTCTTCTTCCTTTCCCTTAAATATCAGTTCCACCTCTGGAATTTCATCGCAAATTTCTTCTGTGAAAACTGATAAGAAGTAGCTGTTCAATGCTTTGCTTATTTCTTCACTGCCATTTATCACTTCTCCCCTCCCTGACTTTAAAGGCCCAACTTTGTCCTTGACCTTTGTCCTATATACCTAGAAAAATCCCTTGGGACTCGCCTTGGATTCTCTTGCTATTTTGATTTCATAGTCTCTCTTTGCTTTCCTTACATTTTTCTTAACATTCCTAGATAGTTCATTATACCTATTTCTGAGCTGCTCCTCCCCTCCCTTTAATTTCTTATATATTCCTTTCTTTATTCCTATGTCATTTTAAGTTTTCTGGTCATCCACCTTGGCTCTTTTCAGAAGAGTAGTCAATTTCAGGGTCTTTAGTCTACCTGGATAGCTAATTAATTCTAGTTACTGTGTTTATACTGTAGAATGAGGTGTATTTTTTTTCCCATGTCATACCTCAATAAATACACCCAACTAAACTTGAATTTTATGAAAGCTAACACAAAGTAAATTAACTTAACCGAACACATTTGGAAAATAATATTAAGATCATTATGGTAGGTTAGGCTTGTTTGGTTCATGTAATGTTCATTAATGAATTAATGCTGTTTTCTCACACATTGCCAAATGTCAACAACTGATTTGACTTTGCTATTAAAGTGCATACAGGTAGTTCTGCTATAACGCGATAATTGTGTTCTTGTAAAATATCGTGTTATAGAAAATTGCGTAATAGAAATAACAGGGCTTATGGAGAAAATAGGGTTAGGTGCAGATTACTCGAAATCGAAAAAATTTAGTAGTTAGCCTAACACAAAGGATAGCACAGTCTAAATAAATGTTACATTCATATCTAATAATGAAATCATACAGTAAATGTAACACTTTACTTGATGGGGGAGAAGGGTGATTTTGAGGTTGATAAAATCGAGCTTCTCTTCAAGTGTTATATCCTTTCTTTTACGATCATCACCGGGAATTCTATCACCAGAACGCTTCTTGTTGATATTCTTCTTTACTATATTCACAGTTAATACAGTGGGGTATGCTATAACGAACGGATCCTACTACGAATATTCCTATAACGAACGGTTTTACCTATAAAATTGAGAATGCTATAACGAACGAAACTCCTACAACGAACATTATTTAATTTTTTTTTTTTTTTTCTAATTTATTGTTTTTTATTACAAATATTAATGATATTCTTTATTTCAGGGGTTTAGATGCATATTTATGCACTTTTTTACAATTTTTACAATTTTATATTATATTTTTCAGTGTTAAGTGGTTGTATTTGGGGACCTGGAACGGATTAATCCTATAACGAACGAATGCTATAACGAACAAGGTTCTAGAACCAATTAGATTCGTTATAGCATACCCCACTGTACCACAAAATTGGAGAAATAGTAAGCAAAAATCGCGTTATAGCAAACAAGCGTTCGCGTTATACAAATATCGTTCCTAATTCATAAATCGCGTTAGAGCAAATTCGCGTTATCAAAACACGCGTTATAGCAGAACTCACTGTACAGGTATTTAGCATAATTCTGAGTCAGTCCACCTTCATTTCTTTACTGTCAGCAACAAGAGCTAATTGCAAGTTTAATCTTAACTTGGGTTTAGACCAAAGGCTCACTGTTGTGCATATAAAATACTTGAGGCTCCTGGTTCCAGGCTCGACCATAAAACGGGATTTTAGAAATTTCTTCATTCTACAATTGACATGTTGTAGTTCATACAGTATTGCTAATTGTAGTAAAGCCTTGTGTTTTATGGGGAACCTTTTGAAAACAAAAGTTAGACAGGTTAAGGACTTGCCACATGTGCAATGTGCATTACAAAAGGTCCCTGACATATGAACACCCGCCGATACGAACGAGGTTTTAAACTTTAAATTTACATTACTGTATTTTATTTACCTGATGACTTATTTTTTACTTTCATTTACTGTATTTTGTCATTCTGTTTCTTCTTTTTTCTTAAATTACTGATTTAAGATGTAAATAAGGACTTCGGCTATGATGTACTGTAGTAGGATTTTAGACACTGTTCTGTAAGTATGGTTTCCATACAGCTTGTGTTTCGACTTGAGTACATTTTTTACTTAAGAACATCCCCAGGAACGGAACCTGTTCATAACCCGGGGACCCTCTGTAATATTTTTATACGAAGAACTTGGTTTATTGTATGTAAGGAAATTTGTGGTACTGGTACAGGCATCCCATGTGTTACAGAGTTTTGCTCTTACGGAATTTGTAAATTATGACCAATAATTTCGCGTTACGGCCCGTAAATCCGCCCTTACGGAAATTGGGGTAAATTTTAACAATTTAAAAAAATCACTATATAAAATTAAATTTTTTTGTTAAAAATTATAATTTGTTTGGTGTGGATTTCTTAGTGTTTGCTGCTGTCAAGCATGGCATCGCTTGTCTAACAAATCTGCTGACTTTTTTAGGAAATTCTTCGAGGTAATAGATATTGACGAAAATTACGATGTTATTTACTTAGACTTTAGCAAAGCGTTTGACAGAGTACCACATCAGAGGCTTCTGAGAAAAGTTAAGGCTCATGGTATCGAGGGGAAAGTTTTAAATTGGATAAAATCGTGGCTCACCGATAGAACACAGAGGGTCAGCGTAGATGGTGTTAAATCTGAGTGGGGCTGTGTAACCAGTGGGGTTCCCCAGGGGTCAGTACTGGGCCCACTCTTGTTCATAATCTATATAAACGATCTAGATACTGCGATCAGCAGTGACATAAGTAAGTTTGCAGATGACACCAAAATAGGGCGGCAGATTAATTCAGAGCAGGATGCAAATGCACTACAGGAGGATTTAAATAAACTGCAGGAGTGGTCAGAGAAATGGCAAGTGAAATTCAACACCAGCAATTGGAGCGGACTTAATATTGGAAGAACAAATACTGTCAATGTATACAGCCTTAACAACAGCAACCTAGAAAGGTCGACTTGTGAAAGAGACTGAGGGGTACTTGTAAGCCCGGACCTACAGCCTAGAAAACTGAGTTGATGTTCGAAATAAGGCAAACAGAGTACAGTATTAGGTTTTATATCTAGAAGTGTAAGTAATAAGAGTGCAGAGGTCTTATTGCAACTATATCTTGCGTTAGTCAGGCCGCACCTCGATTATGCGGTTCAGTTCTGGTGCACTTATTATAGAATGGATATCAATTCACTGGAGTCGGTGCAGCGAAGAATGACGAAAATGATTCCGGGACTTAGAAACCTTCCATGTCAAGATAGGTTAAAGAAACTAAACTTGCATTCCCTAGAAAGACGAAGAGTGCGGGGAGATATGATAGAAGTATTTAAGTGGGTGAAAGGATCAATTAAGGCGATATAGATAAAGTTCATATAATATCTGTGCAGGATAGGACTCGTAGCAACGGATTTAAGTTGGATAAGTTTAGGTTTAGGAGGGAGATAGGAAGGAACTGGTTCACAAATAGGGTGGTGGCCGAGTGGAACAAGTTTAGCAACTTTGTAGTAGTGCTTTCACGCTGGAAAGTTTTAAAAGGAGGCTAGATAGATTCATGGATGATAGAGAGTGGTAGTAACTCTCGACAGGAGCTGCCATGCACAGGCCAACCGGCCTATTGCAGACTCCTTATATTCTTATGTTCTTATGTTATCGCCACGAGGAGTCAGTCCATTGTTTACATCCAGTGTGCACATATGTTTCTCGCCCCAGCATTTGGATTTAACTTTTACAAACATACAGTAAGTACAGTACAGTGCATTACCCCTATTCAAGATGACTGGAAAGAGGCCATCAAGTGGAATTGTTCGCAGTAGTGCAAAAAGAAGCCACAAAGGCATTACATTGGATATTAAACTTGATGTTTTAGGAAGGTACTGTATATCATTAATTATTTAATGTACTGTATTGTATTTTTATTATCATTCATAAAAGTGCTTGAATTACTTTTTTGGGGCCGAAAAAATTCCCGATGAACGCATCTCCAGTTTTATAATGGAAGTCAAGGGGAAAATAGGTTTCGCATTACGGAATTTCGCGATACAGTCAATTTTCCAGGGACGGAACCCTTCCGTAACGCGGGGGATGCCTGTATAAGGTACTGTGCATAGACAGATATACAGATCATAGAAAGTAAGATGGATGACCAGGGAACTGTGAGGTTTTGGATGAAGAAAATGTTAGAAGCATAAACACACTATGCATGTTGGTCGAATTTTGTGAATGACTACTGTGCTGTACTTCACTGCTTCATTTGCACCTTATATAGCAAAAGCTACTTGATCAGTTACTTTCTGTATAATATATTAAACTGCATCTGTTAGCTCTGTGAAGACCAATCCTGACTGTTTGATTGACTAACACATTGATTGATTGAGCAGGTTTATAATTGGTCGATGGTTGGTATTGTTTTATTGCCCCATCCTAATGATTACATTCATGTCTACAGATTCCTGAAGATGGGTTGGAACACATGCCACATAATGAGGTGATAAGGGCACTGAAAATTCTTGAGGCCGCCCTCCAGCAGTTTGAAATCCCAAGATTTAGTATCATGACCCAGCTTAAGGTAATATTGTGCTGATAAGATTGTTTTCCAAGTTGCTTTAAAGTTGGTTTGGTCTCAGCTGTGATTCAAGACAAAATAATGTCACATTGTGAATCCTCAATTTTAGAATACAATACTGTATATGCTATAGTAATGCAGCAATTTATTATGTCCTTTGCTGATATTATTACATCAGTATAATGTATGATCCCAGTTGTAAATGGATACTTGTAAATGGATACCTGACTTTACAAGTTGGAAAAATGAAGGTGTTTGACTGCATTGGCAGTTACACTGACTCCTCATGTACCAAGTCATACACAGTGTGCTGTATCCACACTGTCTTTAACAGGCACCCTTGCCTATGGAATCTAATTTCATATTACAGAACTGTATAATGAATAAGATTTTTTTTTTTATTTATCTCATTACAGGTCTTGCTGATTAATTTACACAGGAGCCAAGATGATTATCTTGGTGACAATTCCCTTATGGCAGAGGCCACTTCCCTCATCAATAAGCATGATGGGGTTAAGGTGAGTACAGTACTAGATTGTCATCTATATTTTTTTACGGGGATTAACCCACCCAGCCACAGGTCACTGACCCACTTTGGAGCCTGGAGAGCAAAAAAAAAAAAAAAGATGAACCAAAAATATATAAAGAAATGGAAAAAATTAAACAAATCAAGAGTGAGAAATGATATACTCAATAGTAAGAGAAACAATTGAGACCCTGCAATTGTGTGTAAATGAGGCAGAAAGTCAAATCTGCAACCTGGGACTTCGTCACAATTTTTGTGATGCCATATGGCAGCAGGGTCACTTGACCATCTGACCTGACCACCAACCGTTGTGTGCTATTTAAAGATTAGTTGGGTCATTACCTAATACCTGACCATTGTGGACCTGGTCTCACCCTCCTCTGTATATATACACCTTGATTTGTATTACTCTCTCTAGTCTGTACTCGCCCCTGAAGATGTGAATTACACGAAAGCGCTTGGGAACTTCGTGTTTTCTTCTTTCCTTGTGGTTATCAGCATATATATATATAAAATATATATATATATATATATATATATATATATATATATATATATATATATATATATATATATATATATATATATATATATATATATATATATATATATATATATATATATATATATATATATATATATATATATATATATATATATATATATATATATATATATATATATATCTTGATCAAATCACACGGGAAAAGGGAAACAACGGAGCACCTTAGCTTTCGTCTTTATTCAAGACATCTTCAGAAGCAACTTCAGTTGCCTCTGAAGATGTCTTGAATAAAGATGAAAGCTAAGGTGCTCCGTTGTTTCCCTTTTCCCGTGTGATTTTATCAAGATTTATCTTATCCACGTTTTCATTGTGGATCTACATGATATATATATATGTATGCTGATAACCACAAGGAAAGAAGAAAACACGAAGTTCCCAAGCGCTTTCGTGTAATTCACATTTTCAGGGGTGAGTCCTCACCCCTGAAGATGTGAATTACACGAAAGCGCTTGGGAACTTCGTGTTTTCTTTTTCCTTGTGGTTATCAGCATATACCTGAATCATGCACACCTACAGTGATTTACTTGCATATATATATATATATATATATATATATATATATATATATATATATATATATATATATATATATATATATATATATATATATATATATATATATATATATATATATATACACACACACACACACACAGACACACACACACACAGGTTGACAACCCTTTATCCGAAAATCTTGGGGCCAGAGGAATTTCGGATTTTGGAATTTTTCGGTTTTCAGATTTTTTTTTTAATATGTATTAGCCACCGGGCATAGATCTCGACCCACATCAGGACCTGCGGGGGAGGAATATAATAAAAATTATAATAATAATAATTCATAGGTCTAGGTCGTGTTTCCCACTTATGATCTTTTTTTCATTCTTGTATTTCTTTATTATTATTATTATTTTATTATTACAGTACTCCTGTATTATTGTTATTTTTATTAATTTTATTATTATATATTATTAATGTTATATTATTTTATTTTGGTGTATTTTTATTAAAATGTTATTTACTGTGAATAATTATTATTATTATAATTATTATTACTATTACATTTTCGCCCCTCAGGCCCTGATGTGGGTCAGTGATCTATGCCCGGGTGGGCTAATTCCTGTAATAAAACAAAAAACAAAAAAAAACAAAAACTTTCGGTTTTCAGAATTTCGGGTAAAGGGTTGTCAACCTGTGTGCGGAAGTTTTTTGTCTATCTCTTATATCTATTGAGGGGAATTGAGGGATGCAGAAACCTGAAGAAGGGGGAGAAATAATTGGGGAAGAATGATGCAAGACAACAGTAGAAAGCAAAAGGAAAGGGCCAAGATAACAAGTATAATATCCTTGCGTACCGTCTTTCTTTAGCTATAAAATAGGATGATTTATGTAATTCCTCCTTTTGGTAATAGTCTGTGGTGTCAGTTTCTGCAGCTGCCATTGTTATGACACCTGAGAAATGTTATTTTTCTCTCCATATTACTGTATATAACTCATAAAATTCCCTTTATACCCATGTATCTTCTTAAAAATAATTAATTGCAGACTATATACTACTGGCTTTGCATGGGGTCTTGTTCTGTTAATGCCATAAGCTTAGCTAGTGTTTGACTGTTGAATAGGCAAATTTTATACCATGTTTTAAAAAGTTGCCATTATTGTCATCTTTATTTTAATTTTTGTCAAGTCTTTCTTTATAATTGGATGTTATTGTGTCTTGGTTCTATAATGTCTTTTGGATTATTTTTCCCTTACCTCTCTGTCTTTCTTTGGTAGACTTTGGTGTCATTACTGATGCTACCAGATCTTGGGGGCCGGTGGAGTGAACCGGATGTTTGTGACCATTCCATAACTGTTGGCACCCTGCAGGCCACAACGCTCAACGTACTCAAAAAGCTCACCACAATGGTAAGGGACATTTGTCTATTTGTGTAATTATGTGTCCCGCTCTATAAACACAAAAATCTTCAGGAGACCTGGCATGTACTTTATATGCATAACAAGTTTGATCATCACTATTTTCCATCATTGGTAAAGGGGGGACTTCACCACCAACTTGATACCCTCCACTGACCTTGATTTATTATGGTTAGCACTCAAAAGACTCTAGGTCAGATCTTATTATCAGCCAGCCTCCAAGTCTCAAGCAGTCCAGTCCATTACAGTTTTATACAATACAGGGATGCAACGTTTAGCGATTGGTATGCATTCCTGAAAAACAGATCGCTAAGTGATTTTATTGCTGAGCAAACAGAAACGAGAAATAATATCTTAAACAAGGGATAACGAGGAGATGGCACGTAACTGTATAGCGGAGTCGCCTGGCTGACTCGCCACCCAGTAGCACTCAGAGCAGGTGAGGGTGAACTGTGAGATACATTATTCTTCAACTCGTAATTTGGGGTAGATATACGTAATTTTCTTCATTTTATTTTACTGTACTCTGTTACATGCACACACGCACACACATTTGTTCATACAGAATGTGAAAACAAAATAAGAAAAATAATTATCACAAGGTTAAAAACATAATGGGAATACAGTAAACACTTCTTATTTGGTCTGCCTGTTAGTTGACAAGAGCTGACGGGGAGGAAGGAGCAATCACTTTAGTACACAATACCACAATAGTGCAGGGTAAGGAACAGTCTGTATAGCACTCAATAACACGCCAAAGCCACAGCGATGTACAGCAATAGGAACAATGCACAGATTGCCAATGTTCAAAGGCAGGGTAAACACTAGCGTAATGACGTCCTGGGTTGGTAGATGGCATGCCGGTATCATACCTTTATAATGCAGTAGGATCGGGATATATAGCGACCTTATATAATGATTTTTATATATTGCGGGCTACCAAATTTATCGAAATTTTCCTATATATAGCGATAATTTTTTTTTATTTCGCGAGGAAAATCGGGCAGGAAATATTTCAAATTTGTCACTATGTACTACCAAAATTATCGAAACTTTCCAATATATAGTGATAAATTTATTTATAGTGGACTCACAACTTATGTGGGTTATGCTCCTGGGACCTCACATAAAACCAAAAACCATATAATGTCAGAAATACTCCTAAAAATCCCCTAAATAGCCCCCAAAATGATGTGAAAATTTTTTACCTCTTGTGGAAAATATATGATGTCTATATTCAAATTATTCGCTGTCTTGCAAGGATTCCAGCTATGTAATTTATATTCTGCTAACTTTAGTCTGTGCCATTTTATATAAAGATTAGTCACTTTTATTGGCCTCCAGAACCTAACCCTATTTTCCCCATTGATTCCATGTAATTATATATCGCGATTTAGTATATAACGAACATCCTTGGACCCTATCTCGCGATATATCCCGACCCTACTGTGCGTGATTTCTATATAATAAAACTACTGTAAATATGTACCCCCTAAAAAATTTCTGTTTTGTGCTGGAAAAGCTAGATAATGATTATTAAAATCATTTTCAAATTCAGGTTGGCTGATTCATAGGTAGTATCTTATATAGCAGCTCCTTTTTCAAGTGGTTTATTTTCGTCCTTGAAAATACAACGTTGTCATGATCTGAGTGGGCTGGGAGACATACAATCACACTTGGCATTTATTTTACACCACTTAAATTTGTTATTTCCACCTCTTTTTATATTAGACTACTGGATAGGCAGGTGAAAAGAAAATATGAATTCAAACAATTTTCCCTCCTGAAGATCACTAAGGAACTAATGGTGTTAGAAAATTTTAATTGCTAAACCGAATTATCACTAAGTGAACGATCACTAAATGATGGATACCTGTATACTGTATTTAGAATTTTATGTATTTTTTACAAGTACTGTAAAGTAATATTTTGTTTCCCTTGCCAGGACACAACCATCGGGTGCCAGCTGAGTGACAGTGATGAAGTCCTACAGATTCTTTTCTCATTAATGTTGGACTCTGAGACATACACCAAGGCCATCACACTAATTGAACATCTTCTAATATTGAGAAGAAGCACACTACAGCTTAACACAATACGTAAGTCTGTTGGGTAGAATGTAACCGAGAGTCAGTAGGTACAGTTGCCTCCATTTATAATGGGTACAGTAAGTGTTACCAGTCTTCTCTCTCCGTGTGTGAACCTAGACAGTGTTGAAGCATGGTTCCGAAGCACTGGCAAGTTGTGGGGAGACTCCTGGAATGGCCCTAAGAAACCCCACAATAGTAGCTACACTAAGGATGCTAAATAAGCATTCCATGGTTATAGTGTAGTTTTAATACAGGTTACAAAATAGAGTGTCATTGGCTTCAACCTGCTGTGTTGCTAGTCAGTGGCAGTGTGACGTAACGAGAGGGAGGGGGGTTCTTTTTGCCAAGAGGTGCACCGACATACTGTCGTGTTTAGTAATATGTTCTCAGTCTGTGAAAGATGATATTTTAAAAGTGGTTTAGGTAATATTGGGATGAACCAATAAAATATTATTGCATCCAGTCTTTTTTATTATGTGGACAGCATTCATACTCTCCTTGCTAACTGCTATGCCAAACATTGGACATCACTAAATGTGCCATTGTATCAGGAGAAATGTTATTTATAATCATTTTCTGTATGCTAGAATAATATAGTATACCATACTGGTGGAATAAATATGTGAGTAATGGTAATTTATGATACAATTGCATTGCATAAGTCATAGTATATGATAAAGGGATAAAATGGGTGACATGACAGCATTGTGGCTGGCCAGACTATAGACTGTTTCAGAAGTGGAGGTGACATGTAATTGTGAGGTGGATGGGTATAATGGAGTCTAGCTAAATTTCAAAAGTTATTTCTAAGCTTGCTTGCAAGGTGGTGACCTTATATTAGACTGTACTCATTATAAATGAAGGCAACTGTACATACTTTCCAAAACTATAGTAGACCCAATTTATGTTAGGTTTCATCCCAATGTAACAAATGATATTTCTTTTTCCCTTTTATTTATATTTATTTCTTTACTTTACAGTGTATTTCTCTTTACCCTTTATTCACTATTATTTACTATTATCATTTCTTACTTTTTATTTCTGTTTCTTTTCTTTATTCTTCTTTCATATACAAATGTGAGGGAAAGAGGGAAGAAGAGGTCGGGTAGGCCCACGGTCAAAGTTACCCTTGCATCGAGAGAGAGGGAGGAGGGAAAATGGATGACAATAAATGTACAAACAAGCACATGATGCACTAACATGGGAGAAATATGTGATAGTTGTGTTGTTACTCATGGTTTACTGTAATATACCATCCAATAAGGGGACATTTATGACACATCTTAGTGGTTACTGTATTAATTTAAGCACTTTCTATTAAAATTGACAATTACACTTCAAACAATAACCTACACTCCTAGCTAGTTACACGGGGCCACATGAATCACAATACCTTTCGCGAAATGGATAACACCTTTAATGGACTTACTAATTATTGTTAATCTTGCCATCCTTAACCTGCCATGTTCACAGACACACACACCAACACTAGTTTTTGGCCAATCAACTCCACTGTGCCCATGATGTCATTCTCACAAGTCACTGTGATTGGCTTACACTTAAGGCACACTTTGGGCACTGATAGCTTGGCAGGCGGGAACACTGTCCTTGTCCCGGCATGCAGGACACTTTGTCTCCCAACTGAATTTTCATACATATATTCTCTAAAACAAGACATAATTTACTCTAAAATCATGGCACTGTTACACCAAAGGGGTTCATGTAATCATTAAGTCATACATACTTTACTTGAATACACTAAGTAATTGATAAAATAAGGTTAGGTTGCGGGTACTCTGGGGAATAACCACTACAATTATTTTCTATCCCCTGTGCCCTATTAAAGCTCATACGGTATCAGTTTTGCACTAAAACTCTTAAAGAAACTTGACCTTGGTGAATGTGTAGAGTATCAACATCCCACCACACACTCCAGCTGCTGCTCACATAGTCTCCTATATTCTTTTCTATGTGTTGTGTTCACTAGTATATACTGTAGTACCCCGATTTACGCGGTCAATTGAACCCACGGGGTACCGCGGAAAGTGAAAAGCGCATAAAGTGAATAACAGAACATATGGGATTAATTCCAATAGAGACTGGCCCGACCCCCATACTCCACTTTTTCAAACACAATACCTACGTTGTAGTAAAAATAACATCTTAATTTTATGATGGTATGCACACACAATTAATAATTAAGAGAAATATCAATAATATTAGGTTTTTTAAAACTTACATTAGTAGAAAAGATGGTTGGGCACGCGGGGATGGGGGGTTGGTACCGAGGCAGAGGGCAGATTATTGGCCCTCACCTGTATCACTTGTATCAATTGTATCACTATCCACCACATAGGCTTGCAGGGCCTCTGTCAAACCCCTCAAAGTCCATATAAGTCCATATCCTCACTATCACTATCACTGACTTGGGCCGGCTGTGGTGGGTGGCGGTTGAAGAACTCGGTAATGTTTTGATGACTGGGCGACCTTGTGCGCATCCTGCCAGTGCCACTTCCCGCGTATATGAGTAGATGCACCACGTAAAGTGAAAGTCCGGTTCTGGCGAGGTACTGCGTAAAAGCGAAATCACGGAAAGTGAAACCGCGTAAAGCGGGGTATTACTGTACTGTAAATGCACATTAAAAAGTAAAAAAAAAATATTAATTTAATATTAACTGTTCACAAAAATGGAGGAATAATTCTGAATGTTTTTGTCTGGTAAAGTCCAAAGCCAGGCAGCTTTTATCAGGACTTCCTACTACTAGAGTACTAGAGGGTCCTAGAGTCCTCAGACAAGGCTCCCAGTGTGACAAGAGATAAAGGAGGTTATCTAAGAAAGTTAAATCCCCAGTAAATGGTCTGTAACAAAAACTACCCAAGTACCTGTCCGAGCTCCTATAGAAAAAGATGTTTAAGGGATGGGCACTTCACTCCGTATCTCTGAACTTAAGCACTGTTTCCTTAACCCCCCTGTAGCTGGGCTTGACCGCCTCATTAGTCAGCTGGATGGGGAATACCTAGCCAACTTCTGCAGCATCCTGGCAGTGACCATCTCTGACCTAGATGTCTATGAAAACAAAACTCTGTGTAAGTGACATGATATTTTTTCATAATCATTAAATTTAATTTGGAAATAAAAACTTGTCTCATGTTGTGTAGGGTGACTAGATATTAAGTCTTGTTCATATGTTTGTTACCTTTCCAGAATTTTAAACATGTTTTTACAATGGATTAACTTCATTATATATGATTAATTTGTAAAGGAAATTAGTCTATCACACACCTAAGTGAATATTTATTGTGAAGTTTCCATCTTAACATCATTTAAGACTGTTCTGGTTTACAAAGTGTCACGTGTTATAAATTTTGTTATTTACAGTATATGAACAGAGTATGCTTCGCAGCAACATTAAGAGCCTCTCACCATTACGGGACATCAACCAGGAGTACATTCTCAGCATCCCCGAGTTCCTCCCTCGACTAGTTAATTTTGCAACCAAACTTCCATGTGAGTTCTGTAACATTTCTTTCATGACATCATTATAGTAACTGAATTTGGGATATGGTTATTTTGGAGTAATTGCAGGATTTGTTTAGGCATGTTCAGTTGATAATAATTAAAAAAATTACTTTTCATATGGTTATATAATGACACACATACTGTACATGTTAGTTGATGCCTATTGAATGGTGGTTATAGCATTTTTAATGAAGATACAGTAGTTTAGGTATGAGAGTTACTGTGTTAAGGTAGATCATGAGAGAAATACTGTACAGGAACCTCATATATGTATATACTACAGTACTGGGGTAAACAAATTAAATACCTTGGTCATATAATTAAGGGTAAAAGGATAATGGTAGACATGTTAGTGGATAAAATTGAGGGTAGGAGGGATAGGGGAGAGCAGTGACAGGGACATTACATAAGTACATAGGAAGAGAAAAGTTACTGGAGGATTGGTAAAAACATATGGAATGGAGGGCCATGGTCACCAACCCTCAGACATCAGGATGGTGTACCTTGACACATTTTGTTTTTGTCTTACCCTTTTCCTAACTTTCCTCACTTGGTTTACACAACTATCCATGTAATTTTGTACCCATTTTTTTTTAATTTTCTGTATTTCTTCACCCATTCTTTACAACAATGGGAGATGAGTAAAGATAATGGATAAAAGGTTTAATAAAGGTGTTGCATACTCCCCAGATGAGCCACGTTACTCAGGCCGTACCATGGAAGTTGATCACTGGATGCGGTTCATTGACGACTCCATGTCAGAAGTGCTCCGCCAGCATGAATCTCTCATGCCGTCTCCTACTCTTAATTCTGCTGTCTCTGTAACAGGTGTGTTTTGCTGCTCGAGTTATAAGCCAAACAAAAACCAGGGTTACTGAACTACAATACGTATATACAGTAAGTCCTCGCTTAACGTCGTGGTTCCTTTCCTGAAAACTGCGACGTTAACTGAATCAATTTTCCCCATAAGAAATAGATAAAATATTGGAGTTATGTTCCCCATTACATGTACAGATACATAAATTTAATGGAATTTTTATTGAAAATAGTCTATATTATCCACCCAAAAATATAAATAAACTAAATCATTTTGCATTGTACTCACTGATGGGGGGAGGTGGAGCGAGTGTGTGGTGGGTAGTGGAGAGGAGGAGGGTGGGAGAGGAGGCGGGTTGCTAGTCACTGAAACCCGGAGGGTGGCTCCTGCTCTGACTGGGTGAGAGAAGGCGATGCGTCGTACAAAGTAGTCCGTGACGACGTTATACCTAATCGGCAGGACGTTGTCCGTATCATTGGAATTTAAAGAGTAGCGACGTTATAACGAAACAGCGTTGTCGGGGGCAACGTTAAACGAGGACTTACTGTACTATGTCATCGTATATTGTACATTTAACTTGAAACTAGTTTTTGCTTTAAATCATATGTCAGTTATGTTATAAGCTACTTCCTCTCACAAAATTAAGGTATTAAAATTTTTTGACAGATTTGTTGGATAGAATACAACCTCAAGCAATTCCAAGCCAGATAGAAGCCTTAACGAGTCCTATGCTGCAGCGAGTCGAGAGTGTCTATGTCTTAGGGCTTTTGTTACTTGGTAAACAGAGGAAAGAAGTTCAGACACAACTAGCGAAACTGCGACTTATTCCCCGCCTTTCCCAGCTATTTGACCTTTTTATATGGAAGTGTGAAACGTAAGTAAAAAAAATTGCACTTTTTAATCCCCCAGCTGCCATGACTTTATGGATTTATCTGTTTATCTGTTAATTTGTTTTTCTCTCCTTGTTTAGTTTCAAACAAAGGTGAGAGGCTTGGAAATAATGTGTATTGTGAATCCTTCATGATCTGCAAATGATTTAGGAATATGAAATTGTAGGGTGCCACTACAGTTAGCATAATTTATAATTTTTTCAGTACTTTCTGTAGCTCAATAGTTAATGTTCGCTTGATTTTATAACCTGAGTGTGATGATATTGTGAACAGTGTGATTAAATTCTAAATTGAATTAATTCCTGATGATGTAAACAAACTTTCATGCAAACACACTGCACATATACAGTAACCTTGAAATTTACCTTGGGATTATATTGAGTAGTAACTTTTTCAGTAGTGAGTCTTGATAGAATATCTGTTTTAGTCTTGGAAAATGTTATAAACCGTGATAAATCTTACTCGATAACTCGTGTGTATGGATCATCTGAAGATTAGCTACCAGTTTATTGCACATAAGATTAACCACATCACACTAACCTAACCAAACACTGCCCCACCCCCAGGTAGCATTCGGGTGTTTAATCATTAAGTGAAATATGCTGGTGGGCTTATCTTCTGGTGATCCAAATGCTCATGTTTCATGTATGAGGCACACACACACAAGGTGCTCAGTGTCCAAGACTTATGTTTTAGAACTAACTCTTATGTATATACACAGTTACCAGGAGCGAATAAGAGTGCCGGGTCATCTAAGTTCATGTGAATGTAGTCCAGAGGTAGCACTTAAGATCCAGTTCCTGAGACTAGTTCATAGTTTCTGCGACCAGTCAGAGTACAGAGTAAGTGTTTCTATATAGTTGCTTTGTATCTTACCTGGTACCTGCTTGAAAGAAAAATTTCTAGTGATTTAATATGAGGTGTTGTAGATTGACGTACAACTTGAGGATTCATTTTGTGTAATGTGTAAACCAGTTGAAGATATGAGGGAGAGGGAGAATGTATGTACTGTTTGTATATGTGGGGGTGTTTACACAAGAGATTTGAATTGATGGACATAGGTACTCAATCTTCTATCTTTAAAGTACAGTACTGTATGTAATGCCTGGTATGAAAAGCTTTTAGCTTAATAAACCTTGCAGACAATCATTTTTAATGGATGTTTTCTCCCGTACAGTACCTTATGTTAACACCTACGGAATACCGCGAGGTGTGTAGCATCAGCGCCGCCAAAGTGCTCTTGGAGGACACCCCAAGCCCCACCACAACCACCTCTATGGATCTGACTATGACCCAAGGTTCTGACAGTAATGGATGCGCATCACAAGAGAGCAGTTCACCTACTAGTGTTCTCCAAGAGGAAAGTATAGTCAGCAGAGAATCTTCAAACATCTTGAAAGTAGAACCTTTAGGTGGATCGGGGTTGTCAACTCAGGTGCCAGTGGAGTATCCCACCGAACAGATGTGTTCTGGTCCTCAAGGACTCCTATCAAAGATTGTCGAGGCCCTGAAGAAGGAAACAACCGGGTCCACATTTAGGTATAGTATGCCCTTTTATGTCTAAACACAGTTGGTAAATGATGATGAATTACTCGATTAATAGCCAATAAATTGACTTAATTTTTAAAACAGTTCAGCAGTGCAGTTTTCTCTGGTGCCCAGATTATTGCTCATTACCACATACACCAATGCATAAAATATTCCTCTTATTAGAAATGTCTAAAACAGTAAATTGGAGTGGGCGAATAATATCTCTCTGAAAAGAGAAGAACTTACCAGAAACAACAGTGAGAGTAAATTGGTTAACATTTATGTATATGTTTTATCTGGAAAACCTAACTGTAACACTCATATTTTATGAAAGCTATTCTCTCTTATATGAATATTGTCCCTTACAGTGATGTACCAAATTATATTTTAAATTTTTTTTAATGCATTAGGCTTTAATTTACAGTAGTTTGGTTGGTTTTTGTTTTTTATAAACCTATTTAATTATTTTTTGGTAGTTACTAAATTATAGTATTTTTTGGTGAATCTATTTCATATTTTTTAGGTATGATATTGGGGTTTTCTTGTCATTGGGGAGCTGAACCCTATTATTCCCACATGTTATGTTAATTGAGATACAAAAATTTCCTTAATGAATGGCTTTCAAGGAGCCTAATCCATTCGTAAAGCGAGGGATACCTGTATACACAAATAAATCAGTATCTAAAGATTTTTAACTTGGAGGGTAAAGTGATAAAATCTGAGAAATTTTGAAACGAATTGGATATATCTTAGCTGATTAATATATAGGTAAACCTCAATAAATGATGGTGTTAGGCTCTTGAAAAACCCATCACTAAGTGAAATATCGTAGATAGGGAGCCTTATAGGGGCGATGGGATATGTTCACAGCCAGTCCCCAAACACACATGTGTCACCAACAAAAATATTCCTACTTATAAAAGCAATAGAAAACAATTAAACAACACTCACCACACCAAGAAGAATAAGCCTGGTCGTCATCACATGTTCCCTTCGAGACTAAGGAACTCTTGTAGATGGAGTGGAGACGTCACTCTGACTCCCACACAGCCTCTGGGGAGTATCTTGCTGCTTCACAATGTCAAGCTTCACCTCAGAGACACTGTTGTCATGGATGCCTTGGCCTTCCCCAGACATTTTCAAAGTTACACTGCTCAGTTCACAGTCACAAAAACAGAGCAAAATCACTTATCACAAAAGCAGAGCGAATGATGATAACATAAAAACAATTATAGAGACCAACACTGCTCACATCATTTTCACAACAACAGAGGCGAAGTACTTTACAGTCTCAAAAATACAGAAAATATCACTTCAGTCACCATAACATAGTTCAGTCTAAACGTTAGTGCTGTCCCCTCACTAGTATAAGAAAAAAATACACTGATGATAAGTACAGCCAACGATGCTGTCCGATAATTGTGGAGCAATGCGATGGCGGGCAGATGTGATTGACAAAGAACCAGGCGAAGGGCTGTAGTGCGCTGGTTGGCCGTGTGGCAGCGCACGGTAGATATTACCTCGGCTGACAGATGAAGCGAGAGGTGCGTGGTGCAAAGGGTTAAATAATGTTTCCTTATAAAATGTCACTGACTTTACATAAAAAATAATAATTTGCATTGCTGGAATCCTTGCAAAACGGTGATTAATTTGAGTATATATAGTGATTCCTCGGTTAACGAAATTTCAGTTAACGAATTACTTCCCATAAGGATCTTCAATTCGGTTAACTAACAAAACTTTGATTAACAAAATCCTTACGAACAATACGTCTTGTTGTGAGCATCAGCTGATGGGCTAGTCTGCCAATTCAGTAATCTGTTTATGTTTACATTCGTTTCCAGTGGAGTAAATATCAAGAAAGTTGTGCTCTTTAATATTTTTGCATTTTTTATATTAAAATTGGTAGTAATTTTTAAATTTAGTTTACATATTGATAATATATGCAGTACAGGGAACTAGTTTTTTGTGCGCCCATCAGCCGCTTGACTCCGCCACCAGGAGTCAGTTTGGCTTTGTTGACAGTGGAGTGAACATCGATTTTGTTGGTGTCTTGAATATATTTGCATTTTTACATTGAAATTATTGGTCATTCTGAAATTTAGTTAACATATTGATAATATATAGCAGAGTGCAGTGTTGATTTAAATAAAATAATCTTGAATTACACCTAGTGAACTTAAAATTTTATTGGTGAAATTACTGCATCAAGCATGGGTCCCCTGAAAAGTGATTTCTCCTCCATCTCCACTTCCTTCTCTTCTCCCTTCTCCTCCACCCCCACTTCTAATTCCCATCATCATCATCAACCAGGAACCTTCTACATACACACCTCAAAGTAAGTGTACTTTACTGATTTTTTTTTTTAGTTTGTATGTACTTTTCTGTGAGCTGGAACCAATTACCCAATATCCCATTGAAACAATGGATTCGGTTAACAAAATTTTCTGTTAACGAACGATTGTGGAACGAATTGTGTTCATTAACCGAGGGACCACTGTACTGTACAACCCAATTGATATTCGATGAATATTGTTAAAGCGAATTTTTTTTTTATATAGCGATGATGGTCTTAATTCATGACCATCATTAAAGTGGAATATTGCGGAACAAGACATTGTTCATCGAGGTTTTCTTGTATATATATATATATATCGTATACTGTACGATCATATGTTATTTTCCATTGAATGACCATCTATGGGTTGAAAAAACTAATGCAAATATATTCTTCCTAAACCACCCAAAGACAGGCACTTATTCTTCAAAGCTTGCTGTGGCATCACTGTCTTATTATATATTACTTACAAAGGTGTACTGTAATGTAATGTTTGTCTTTAACATCGAGTTTTTCTGTCTTTGGACCTTTTGCAGGTTCTGGTTTTCAAGAGCTATTGAGAGTTATCTTCGAAGTGCTAATCCTTATGCTGACCAGGTGTTCCTACTTCGGAGAGGACTCTTGAAGGTAGGTACCAAGTGACTCCAGCATCTCCCTTCCATACATTATGATAATTTTTTGTGTTAACTTGTAATTCCTGAAACTGTTCTTGTCTAGTTAAAAAATAAACTTGCTGTTTCCATATACAGTACTGTATACAGTAATATCTCTGTTAGCTGGAACAATTGGTGCAGAGCACTTCCGGGAATGAGAGATTCCAGGTAACAAGACGACTCTCTCAAAGCCGGGAAAAAAACCACTCATCTCCGGAATTTTCCGGGTCACGGAAAAATGTTCTCTGAAGTTCCAGAAATTGCCCATTACATCATCTCTCGAACCCGGAAAAAATTCCTCATCCCTGGAATTTTCTGGGTAACGGAAACTTTATCTTGGAATTTCCAGAAAATGCGCCTGATATTCATCTCTCAAATCCAAAAAAAAATCCCCCATCTCCGGAATTTTCTTGGGATTTTCTGGAAAAGCAACCTCGGAAAATCGTTCCCAAAGCCGGAATTTTTCGTAAAATTCCGGCTTTGGCAACAATTTTCTTAGAAAATGTCAATTCCGGCATTTGGAGAGTTTCGGGTTTGAGGGATTCCAGCTAACAGAGATATTACTGTAATGGGATTTTTATTATAGTACACAGGTATGTGAGTTAATAACTATAGTTTGATGAAGAGAGAACAACTGTGAATAAAAGTTTTAATGCATTGGAAAGAAATTGTGAAGAGGCAATGACACACTGGTAGGAATCTGTTCCATAACTGTGATTGTTTTATTTTTCAGCATTTAGCAGGCTCATTACTACAGTGTGATCCTGGACCTAGTCAGAAAGAGGTATTACAGTCTACCTTTGACCTTCTTGGGGAACTGCTCAAGTTTAATGTAGAAGCTTATCGCAGATTAGACTACATAATCTCTACAGAGCCGAAAGTAAGTTGGACATCAGGTCTAATAAGAAAAGTAATATTAATTCAGTAAAATTATCATACACGTTTACAGTTGGTGTGGCATGTATATAGACAATGCAGGTATAACACACAGTTCGGCATGTGTACAGACAATATAGGTATATACTGTGTACATCGACTCTGGATGTATACAGTTTCCAATGTACATAGACAGGGCAGGTATACAACAAGAGTAAACAATAAGGTAATTTAATTAAGGATAGCCAACAAAGGTTTTTAATGCTTCTTGTCCTTAGCACTTTAATGGTACCTGGTGTCATCAGATGTATCAACTTTTTTCACATATTGTACAGGAGTAATTTATGGAGTTAACCTGCCATGTGAGGGTTAATGGGGAAGATCAATTGGTCTTAATTTTTTCCTTGTCATTTGCAATACAAAATTAAATGAATCCTGCTTTCTTTCCTGTTGACACAATCAAGAAGGATCCACCATTCTTTAGAAGCTTCAGTGTTTTTGGTGGACAAGTGCTACAAATAGCCTAAATTCAGCAACTTTATTAAATTTTTTTGAATACAATTAGAAATTTACTTATATGGGTACAGTACAAAAATTCCATTTAGTGACAGTTATCATATATAGACTCTGCCTGAACTTAAAAATGAATAGCAATGTATATAGGAGTGGCTCAGTGTTGTCCACATTTCAGGCTAGTCATGTTACTGGTATTTTATATGTACTGTACTGGTATAAGATCGATTCAGGGAATATTTTTGCATGATAACACAGAACTCCAAGCTTCCTGACCAGATCAGTAAAAATAAATTATTAAATTTTTTGGCAGTGTGTATCATCAAAATCCAAACTTTAACATCACATTATTTTTAAGTGGAGAAGGAGACAGTGTATCAGGTAAAGAAAACTAATAGTGACTTTTTTTTTTTCAGGAAAAGAAATTGTTCCGTCTTGTAACGAAAAATTTAGTCGATTCTAACATGTTGGTTCGATCATTAGTTTTGTCAAATGATCTTTTCACAAGGGAAGGTAAAGCCATTGAATTTGCTTTTCACTCAAGAACACTAAGACATGTGGCAACGTTCAAGCAAAGACTAGATTTCTTGGTGCAGCTCATCAAGACCATAAGTGTAGACACCTTAACCCAGGTCAGTACTCATTGTCTCTCTATCTGTACTATGCTCTTGCCCCAGCTATTTTGTGGGAGTAAGTCAATGGATGCAGATGCTTCAAAAATAAGGAAAAGCCAAGCCAAGTGTAGAGAGAGAGAGACAGAGAGAGAGACAGAGAGAGAGAGACAGAGAGAGAGAGAGAGAGAGAGAGAGAGAGAGAGAGAGAGAGAGAGAGAGAGAGAGAGAGAGAGAGAGAGAGAGAGAGAGAGAGAGAGAGAGAGAGAGAGAGAGAGAGAGAGAGAGAGAGAGAGAGAGAGAGAGAGAGAGAGAGAGAGAGAGAGAGAGAGAGAGAGAGAGAGAGAGAGAGAGAGAGAGAGAGAGAGAGAGAGAGAGAGAGAGAGAGAGAGAGAGAGAGAGAGAGAGAGAGAGAGAGAGAGAGAGAGAGAGAGAGAGAGAGAGAGAGAGAGAGAGAGAGAGAGAGAGAGAGAGAGAGAGAGAGAGAGAGAGAGAGAGAGAGAGAGAGAGAGAGAGAGAGAGAGAGAGAGAGAGAGAGAGAGAGAGAGAGAGAGAGAGAGAGAGAGAGAGAGAGAGAGAGAGAGAGAGAGAGAGAGAGAGAGAGAGAGAGAGAGAGAGAGAGAGAGAGAGAGAGAGAGAGAGAGAGAGAGAGAGAGAGAGAGAGAGAGAGAGACAGAGAGAGAGAGAGAGAGAGAGAGAGAGAGAGAGAGAGAGAGAGCATACAGTTGTTCATATTAATAATTTATACCCACAAGGTGCAAAAGAACCCTGAACCTCCAGATTGATTCACATTGTTTCATGTCAATTCATTGTTTATACTGTATTACATAGGTTTTTAGGTCTGAGCACACTAGTTATTCTGCTGATAATATAAAGTAATTTTTTTATTTAGTATAGAATAAGGAGACGTGCATATTGATGGTATGAGTAATTTGCTTACTGTATAGTGTATGTGAAACAATATGCTGCGATAAAATTCGTGTAAGATTTATATTAGTTTTTACCTTGTTTTGTAGTAATTTTTCTTTGCAGTACAAGCAGACCCCAATTTATGAGGATTTTATTTATGAAATTCACAGTTACTCCTCAAAAATGTTCCACATTTTGATTTATGAACAAAAGCCCCAAATTTATAAAAAATAAATAAATGTTACAGTTATGAAAATGTGCTATTGTAATGCTTTTTATACCAGTTTGCTCACTTATTTTACGTGCTTATATCATTATTCTCTGACACTCCCTGTGTTATTAAATCTACAAATACTGTATTTCCCGGTACCTGTATATTAAGCACACTGCCATGAAAGTTAGCGCTAACGTAGCAGGGAATATCTAGGAAATACTAATTGAAGCAGCAGAGGCATCCTTGTCAGTGCTGACAAATCTTACTTTCCCTTATTTTGTTAAATTACCTTAGATTAGCAGATTCTCAATGTTTTTCATTTTTTAGGAACAAATGTAGTTGAATTAGATATTTTTTCTCGTTTGGTTGATGTTTCATAGGTTTTGGTTGTAAAAACTCACAAATTATAAGACATTGAAAACATGTAAGTTTTGTATGTATCTGTTGATAGCATCTGTTTTGTACTTGTTCAAACACTTATTATAGCTGCAACTACTGCACTAAAACATACAAGCTTGTAGCATAGAATATGTTACTCATCACATTTATTCAAATGTAAATACAGTACAGTATTCACAATTACCAATACCTGTACTGTACGAAATATATTATTCCTTAAGCTGACTGCTTAGCTGAGATGCAGTTTAAATCTCTATTTCTTATCAATTAATAAAGCAAGTTCATTAAAGCCCTATTATCTGAACATATAAACCAGTAAGTTTTGAAGATTTATTTTATTTAAATATGAGTAAGGTGGGTGACAGCCTTGTTGTAATGCTTTGTACAAGAATAAGGGTGTGTGTGTGTCTCGCTCTTTACTGATGCATTGTACAGGCACTGAGTTAGTCAGGCTACAGTTTGTTGGTAGAGATGCCAGCTAATTTCTTTTTTTTATGTTTTCCTGTTAATTTTCTTAAAAATTTGTAACTGTTAACCAGGAATATAAGCATTGCAAGTTAGATTGTTGAACTTTTACATAGTTATCAAGGAAACAAAAGCAAACAACATGTTTAAGAAAATATAAAGTAACGGCACAGCAGCTGGTAGAGTTGCAGCGGTGATAATTTCTAAAATATAATTTCTTATTTAGCCTCTCGGAAATGCAATAAGTTTTTAAGTTTCCGTGACCACAACAAAAGTCATGTGGGACCACTCTCATGAGATCTGGTCATCTTTGTTCTGCTGCCAATTTACCCTGCACTTTTTATTTTGCATGATTTGTACAACACTAGCATCATTATTGCTTTGCTGTAACATAAGCAGAAAAAATAATTATGACATGAATGAAACTATTTATTTCACTCTAAATAAAGAAAAAAATATTTGTCTTCCCACCATCATATCTTGGATATTTTCTCACAAACCTACCAAAAATATATTTATGAAAAGCTATTCATGAATGTAACCCTCTTATAAATAGGGATCTGCCTGTATACTGTACAAGACAGAACAAGACAGAAAACATTGGTTAGCCAGAATATACTACTGCATACTGTGCCATGTATGTAAGTTGATGTTTCTAGGGTAACATTAAGGTGCATTAATATTTTACAAATATTCAAGATATAAAAAGATTACATATGATTATATTTTTTAGGAAAATGTAAGTTGTCTTAATACTTCGTTGGTAATACTGATGTTGGCACATCGGCATTCTGAATTGCCGTTGTATTTGGAGGGCCTCCGTAGTCATGTCGAACCACATCTCCTGACAAATCTCCGCTCCCTCCTTCGCTTTTGGCAGACACACTACCTCCATAACAAGGATAAGGATTGTAATACATTACAAAGGGTGAGTAATAAGTTGCTTGTAAATATCTTGGGAAATTTGTCATTACAGTATTTGGATGTTGCGTTCTGTAGCATAATTTATACTGTGTTGGGGTGAGTAGGAAGAGTTCCTATGAATGTCTCAATATAAGATGAAAGAACAACACTAGATTAAATGTCCCACTACTAAAGTCTTACCAACTTTAGTAGGTAGTAGGCAGCTACCAAATGGGGAGGTACTACCGCTTGGGAAGATATTGGAAGCATAATGTATTGTCTAATGATAGACCCTGGTGCCATATGGCATCACGAAAATTGTGACCAAATCCCAGGTTGCTGATCTGACTTTCTGCCTCATTTACACACAATTGCAGGGTCTCAATTGTTTCTCTTACTATTGACAACACAACATACATATATTGTGTCTCACTTTTGATCTTTTTTTAATTTTTGTATTTCTTTATGGTTCTTTATTATTATTGCAGTTATTATTATTATTATTGTTATTGTTTTTGTTATTATTATTATTATTATTATTATTATTATCATCATCATCATCATTATCATCATTATTATTTTTATATTTGTATTTTTTATTAAAAATTTTACTTATCTGAATTATTATTATGATTATTATTATTATTATTATTATTATTATTATTATTATTATTATTATTATTATTATTTAATTATTATTATTATTATTATTATTATTATTATTATTATTATTATTATTATTATTATTATTATTATTATTATTACTATTACTATTACTATTACTATTACTATTACATTTTCGGCCCCCAGGCCCCGATGTGGGTGACTTGTGCCCGGGTGGGCTAATCCCTGTAAAAAAAAAAAGAAGGATACCTGTATTGCTTTTTTTTTTTTTTTATCGGGGATTAGCCCACCCGGGGCGGGTCAATGACCCACATCAGGGCCTAGGGGGGCGAAAATATAATAATATTAATAATAATAACTAGCAAAATCTACTAAAAATAAATTATAATAAAATATAAGAAATAAAAAATAAAAATAAAATCAATAGTAAGAAACGATGTACTGAATGTATGTTATGATGTCAAAGTAAGAGAAACAAATGAAACCCTGTAACTGTGTGTAAACGAGGCAGACAGTGAGATCAGCAACCTGGGACTTGGTCACATATGGCAGCAGGGTCTACCATTATACATTATGCTTCCAATATCTTCCCAGGCGGTAGTACCTCCCTGTTTGGTAGCTGCTTACTAGCTACTGGTACAGTCGGCAAAAAAGTTCTCGAATGCTCGAAGCATCATACAATATGACAAAACACATGAGAAATTTGACATTGTTTTCTAAGGAAGTTTAATTGGAAATAAAAATTCTACTGTTCACCTGTAAATACTATAAAGATGAACATGTATTACTGTAGCATTACGAAATATTGAGTCACTTCTCAACCAGGCATGCTATCCATTCTGAGATGACAAGAATCATAGTCCTCATTCTGAAATCTGTCATGCCCAGCTGTTTGTCAACTTTTTTTGCTGACTGTACACACTTGTTACTTTGATATCATATACAGATTTTGTCTTACCCTTTGTGCACCAGCTCTGCATTGTACTGTACACAAAATGGTGTGAAAGTATTTACAAGAATAAAAAAAAAATATTAAGCTGTTGTGTAATAAGTGAACTTATAATATCCACTTTCCAAAAATTTGTATTTATCTTTGGATTTTTGACAGATTTTATTATTTTTCAAAAAAACTTTTGTGAATCCTGGTTGTTGAATTTTTATGAAATGCAGGTAAGGGATGAGGATCATTTGTGTTTAAAATGTGGATGTAAAGGTATTAGTGGATTGAAATAAGTTTGGATTTACCTCATTATTTTTAAATTTTTTGGAGCCTTGTCTGAAGAGAACTGATAAAATATTTATGCCAGGAATGAAAGTTATGGTTTCCCAAAATGTGAATGTGAAGGGATTATTAGTTTTCAAATGTGGATGTTTGATCCCAACCCCCCCATTTTTGGTATTATGGCAGCAGTTTTACCAAACTAAAAGCCACTGATTTTTGTTATACTGCACTGTGTTGGAATTGATTAGTAAGGATATTTTTTTAAAACTAATTAACATTGAAATTAGATGCCATCTTTCATTCATGGACATGGTTCCCTTATCAGTGAATTTCATACATTGTAGTGTACAGTACAGTATGCCCCCCAAGTTCGTGGAATTTTATTTCGCGGTTCTCTATTATTCACTGATGACACCCTGGATGTACCCAAGAATGTCAGTGGGTAGTTTTAAAGTTGCCATCATTTTCTTTACCTGTATTGTATATATGTGTGTGTGTAGACACATACACACACACATACAAATAAATAAAAATCGGAAAATACTCTCAAATAATTAGAAACAAATTCATTGAAAATGTGACGGTCTACCCTCAAGTCCGTGTTCTATTACAGTACTTTATTAATAGATCACGGACTTGAGGGTACACTGTCACATTTTAAATAAATTTGTTTCTGATTATTTGTGAGAGGATTTTCCCATTTTTATTTATTTGTATGTGTTTTGTGTGAGTGTGTCTACACACACACATATTTACAATACAGGTAAAAGAAAGAATTTTCCTAAGGGCAAACACATAAAGGGAATATGCATTTCTTTGTATACAAGTAAAAATGTACCCACCGTCAGCAAATGTTATTCACGGCCATTTTGAGAACCTAACCCCCGCAAATTTTGGGGGGGCTCCTGTAGTTACATCCTTCATTCCTTTCTTGATGAAGTCTATATAAAGATCTAAAAGATTAGTATTATTGATAACTTTTTCTTTCATTTGTTCCATTAAATACTGTTGTTAAACCTCATAGTAGCTTCACCAGGGAAAGTTTGTTGGAGAATTTGATCCCACCTTTTCCCACAGAGTTCTGGCATCTCTTTCGACTTCTGGCGGGAAACTGTGGCAACGCTGGTGGCTGAGAACAAACTCTCCCCAGACTGCATCTTCCATTACTTCTCCCCTGAGGACCTGAGCCTCTCCCGCACCAGCTAGTTGACGACACAGTTAGCCGCTGTAGAGGAGACAATGCAGATGTGGATGATAAGTTACACTATATAAAAAGTATTATTTTTTCATCTTAACTGTGTACGTACATGCAAATGGCATCAAACAGAAGGACAACAGCTTACGCGATATGCGGATTTTTGCAGTTTTAGTACAAAATTGTAGCTTTATGTCCTATTTGCCTCGAAATAATGGTGACATGTTTCCCAATATACCGGAACATTATATGCAGTATACTGGGAGCTACATTATTTTACCATTGGTAGTAGCAATGCAGTATTTTCACCATCTTTAGAGGTAAAGATAAAGCCACATAGCACACAGGGAGTAATATGTATGTATCCATGATATCTAGTCGTGATATTCAAGGAAGGACTAGGTTACAGTTTAGAGACTTGAATTTTGATTGTGGAATATATTTGCTACAAGACAGAACTTTTATCAACTTTTCCACTCTCAGTCGTCATGAATGTGAATGTGTACAGTGAATGCCATCCCAACTTCTGAGAAAATGTGATCCTCTTCAGATAAAAGCTGGTATGAGAGTAAATAGTCTGTCTGAAATGTAATATATTAATATATTTATATGGAAATGAAGTGTATCGTTGCAGTCTTGTGCAACAGACCGTAAGAAGTGATTTCTTCTTCCCACAAAACACTTTAGTAGTGCTGTGGTTCAGTTGTCCAAGTACAACTAAATTTTGACCAATGGGAAGATAGATGGGGATGTAAACACTATCCTTATCAACTTCTTAACTCTTAGATACAAGACAAGCAATTTGTTCTTTCTCCAGTACAGTACTCCTAATGATAGCAACTCAGAAGCTAATGACCATAATCCTTTTGAGTCGTTACCTGCTTGTCCTGAAACAAGGAATATACATAAACTATAATTGCTTGATTGTACTCCTTTAATTCTGCAGTGAGGAAGGACTTGTAGTCTTCCCCAAAAATGTTTTAAATATTTTTGTCACTTTTATCACATCTTTTCTCTTGTCTTGAATATTGAACCGAGATCTTATCCTAGCCAGGACACAAGTGTTTGTTTAAGCTGGGTCAGTAATTCAAGAAGCAGGTAAAATTGTGGCACACAGGCATAAAGGGCTGTTATCAACTTGATTTGTCTTAATTAGCAAAAATTATGTTATTCTTTGTCTACCACTTGTAGTGATGCAGCTGACTCTGTGTATTTTCTTGATTTGTAACTCAAAAGAATTGAATGGCACAATTTGAATACATATACAGCACATGCACATACAATACACCAAACACTTCTTCATTTTCCTAACTCTACATAGAGAAATATAGTGGTAACTGTATTTTTCATTGGGTAAAGACATTTTGGACTCTCAGTATACTTAACAGTAACTTTTATTATTATAGGCTGTTGTAATTTGTACACGAGACACCTAATGCTGAAGGAGAGTTTTACAAGTCCAAAGTATATTACAGTAGAATGCTGTATTTATCTACTTTAAAATTATTCCTAATTCAGGTAACCCTTGTTATCTCAATGTTCGCTGTCTGAAAATTTTATTCTTGCACCTCTTTTTCACTCTGAAAGCGATCCTCGCTTATCCGAAAGATGGTCCGATCGAAAATTCAAATAACTCCTGTGGTGAACCATGACCGCCCTCCAATAAGGTAATGTACCACCTTTCCAGTACATATATTTAGTTAAACAATTACTGTTCAGTGTTTAGGTACATAAATTACAGTAGTTTAGCAGGTTTTTTGTTGTTTGTGAACCAATTTCACCATTTTAGCTCTGATGACGGTTTTTCTTGTACAGTAGTTATGCTATTTATTTTTTACTTTATTTTTTTAGGTTTAATATTGGGGGTTTATTGTTGGTGAACTGAACCCTAATTTGTTAATTTGTTGTTATTTACTATCGGGAAATTTTATATCCAAATTGTTTTCAAGAAGCCTAACCCATTCAGGTAACGAGGATACATTTATAGTTTAGTACTTGATAGAGCGTGACTGACTTGGCTCCAGGGAAAAAATGGCTTGTCGAGGATTTCATAATGTCGTGTGTCGGGTATTAAAAAACATTATTTAATATGCCTTTATGGAGCTGTAGTAAAAGTAAAGGAAAACAAAGCTAACGGTAAACTGAAAACATTCCAATTTTGGAACTGGATTATATAACTTAAAAGAGAATATTCTCTCCTATTTTCCATGTTGTTGTTCTAAAATTAATTATAATCAGTCCTCGACCTACGACAGGGTTAGGGACCGACGACCAGGTCGTAAGTCGAAAATGCGAAAATAATACATAGAAAATCTAAAATGGGTGTCTCTTTTTCTTCTAAGCACCACGAGAACTAGAAAATACTTAATTTGAAAAATATTTTAAATGACTGCGGCGGTCGTATGTCCAGGTGGTCAGAAGTCGAGGAGTACCTGTATTTATATATTTTAATTCATTTAAATAATACCTTGAACATAATTTTGATAAAGGGAATCAGTATATCAGAGTCGAGGCACAATTAGGATACATTAACCCTTAAACAGCAGGTATGGTCTGTGGAAGTTGGCTGTAGGGACGGTGGTCATCATTAGTGGAAGTTGGCTGTAGGGACGGTGGTCATCATTAGTGGAAGTTGGCTGTAGGGACGGTGGTCATCATTAGTGGAAGTTGGCTGTAGGGACGGCGGTCATCATTAGTGGAAGTTGGCTGTAGGGACGGTGGTCATCATTAGTGGAAGTTGGCTGTAGGGACGGTGGTCATCATTAGTGGAAGTTGGCTGTAGGGACGGCGGTCATCATTAGTGGAAGTTGGCTGTAGGGACGGTGGTCATCATTAGTGGAAGTTGGCTGTAGGGACGGTGGTCATCATTAGTGGAAGTTGGCTGTAGGGACGGTGGTCATCATTAGTGGAAGTTGGCTGTAGGGACGGTGGTCATCATTAGTGGAAGTTGGCTGTAGGGACGGTGGTCATCATTAGTGGAAGTTGGCTGTAGGGACGGCGGTCATCATTAGTGGAAGTTGGCTGTAGGGACGGTGGTCATCATTAGTGGAAGTTGGCTGTAGGGACGGTGGTCATCATTAGTGGAAGTTGGCTGTAGGGAATGGTGGTCATCATTAGTGGAAGTTGGCTGTAGGGACAGTGGTCATCATTAGTGGAAGTTAGCTGTAGGGGCGGTGGTCATCATTAGTGAAGTTGGCTGTAGGATGGTGGCCATCATTAGTGGAAGTTAGCTGTAGGGGCCCGGTGGTCATCATCAATGGAAGTTAGCTGTGGGATGGTGGCCATCATCAGTCAGAGATTAGCTGTAGGGCGGTGGTCATCAGTAGTGGAAGTTAGCTGTAGGGATGGTGGCCGTCATTAGTCAGAAGTTAATATGGGGATGGTGGTCATCATTAGTGGAAGTTAGCTGTAAGGATGGTGGCCATCATTAGTCAGAAGTTAGCTGTAGGGACGGTGGTCATCATTAGTGAGGATTGGCTGTAGGGGCGGTGGTCATCATTAGTGGAAGTTAGCTGTAGGGATGGTGGCCATCATTAGTGAAGTTAGCTGTAGGGACGGTGGTCATCATTAGTGGAAGTTAGCTGTAGGGATGGTGGTCATCATTAGTGGAAGTTAGCTGTAAGGATGGTGGCCATCATTAGTGGAAATTGCTTCTTAGGGATGGTGGTCATCATTAGTGGAAGTTAGCTGTAGGATGGTGGCCATCATTAGTGGAAGTTAGCTGTAGGGGACAGTGGTCATCATTAGTGAAAGTTGGCTGTAGGGGGCGGTCATCGTGGTGAGACTAGCTGTAGGGATGGTGGCCATCATTAGTGGAAGTTAGCTGTAGGGGCGGTGGTCATCATCAATGGAAGTTAGCTGTAGGGATGGTGGCCATCATCGATGGAAGTTAGCTGGGTTGGTGGTCATCATTAGTGGAAGTTAGCTGTTGGGAGGTGGTCATCATTAGTGGAAGTTGGCTGTGGGGAGACGGTGGTCATCATTAGTGGAAGTTAGCTGTAGGGACAGTGGTCATCATTAGTGAAAGTTGGCGCAACGAGGATGGTGGCCATCATTAGATGGAGTGTGTGGGGCGGTGGTCATCATCAATGGAAGTTAACTCTGTAGGGATGGTGGCCATCATCAATCAGAGATTAGCTGGGGCGGTGGTGGTCATCATTAGTGGAAGTTGGCTGTAGGGATGGTGGCCATCATTAGTGGAAGTTAGCTGTAGGGATGGTGAGATTAAGCATCATTAGTGGAGGATTAGCTGTAAGGATGGTGGCCATCATTAGTCAGAGATTAGCTGTGGGGACGGTGGTCATCATTAGTGAAGAAAGTTGGCTGTAGGGGCGGTGGTCATCATTAGTGGAAGTTAGCTGTGAGGATGGTGGCCATCGTGTGAGATTAGCTGTGGAGACGGTGGTCATCATTAGTGGAAGTTAGCTGTAGGGATGGTGGCCATCATTTAGTGAAGTTAGCTGTAGGGGCGGTGGTCATCAATGGAAATAGCTGTGGGATGGTGGCCATCATTAGTGGAGATTAGCTGTAGGGGCGGTGGTCATCATTAGTGGAGATTAGCTGTGAGGATGAGTAGCCATCATTAGTGGAGATTAGCTGTGGGGCGGTGGTCATCATTAGGTGGAAGTTAGCTGTAAGGGACGGTGGTCATCATCAGTGGAAACTATCTGTAGAAACAGCAGTCATCATTTATTGGAAGTTGGCTGTAGAGACGGTGGTCATCATTGGTGGAAGTCAGCTGTAGAGACGGTGGCCATCATTAGTGGACGTTAGCTGTAGGGATGGTGGTCATCATTAGTGGAAGTTAGCTGTAGAGATGGTGGTCATCATTAGTGGAAGTTAGCTGTAGGGATGGTGGCCATCATCATTAGTGGAAGTTAGCTGTAGGATGGTGGCCATCATCAGTGGAAGTTAGCTGTAGGGATGGTGGCCATCATGAGTGGAAGTTAGCTGTAGGGACGGTGGTCATCATCAGTGGAAACTATCTGTAGAAACAGCAGTCATCATTGGTGGAAGTTAGCTGTGGTGATGGTGGCCATTATTAGTGGAAGCTAACTGTAGAAACAGCAGTCATCATTGGTGGAAGTTAGTTGTTTGGAGAGTGGTCATCGTCTTTGGAAGTTTCATGTTCTTTGTGTTCCATTTTTGCATGTAGTGGTGGGGGGGGGTCTTCAGCCGGTAATTGAGGGTTAATTTTTCAAGATGAATGAGTACGGAGTATAAGTATAGTATGTTTACTGTATTTGCCGGCTTGTGAGACGCATTTTTTTAAAGAAATTACCCTGCGTCTAATGCACCCGTATTACAGATGGGAGGCCAAATTATCACAATCTATTACAAACCTGCGGCAAATTTGCTGAAGACGTAAATAATGGCTTAACGGCAGAGGGAAGCTCGCATCTCACTGTACCTCTTTCACTAGCAGACGTAACCCACACCAGATACAGTACATGTCTTACATTATTTAAAGACTGTGTAACCTTTAAGAAACATTTGTTTATTATTTAAATGAAAAATACCCCTAGAAAGATTAAAGAAATGTTAACAGAAAGTTCAGCCGCCAGTCAGCCATTTGCAATGAGTCGATGACGCCAAAACAATAGCGATGGTGCTACACCCTGGTGGTAGATCGCGGCAACACAAAACATCACGGCTAAAAATACGAGTTTTACATCCTGTCGGTAATCCTCTTGACCAAAATATAAACAAGTCACACAGCTGCTCTTATCAGAGGTAGAGTTGGGTTAGTAAATGTTACTAGTATAAATGATTTCCTACTTGATTCTGGTATATATTGTATATACTGTACATGCACAAAATTCATATGTTTTCCCCTACAAAACAACTTTAAAATTACTTTCAATAACTGTATGACGAAACTTACTAAAAAAAAATTCCACAAAATATCCTTGTAAAATAGGTGGTACATCTGGTTTTACCCGGTTAATTAAACCCATGGAGGTTCTTGTATAAAGCGAAACGTGTAAATAAAATAACAGAACCTATGGGATTAATTGAGATAGAGACTGGGCCGACCGCCAGACTACCCTTTTTTTGGGCTATCGCCGACACAATACCATGTACATTATAGTAAAAATAACATATTAATTTTATGATGGTATGCATATACAATTAATATTCTGTATAAGAGAAATATCAATAATATTTGTTTTTTTAACACTTACGTTAGTAGAAGAGATGGCTGGGCACACGGGGTTGGGGTGTTGGTTCTGAGGCAAAGGGGCAGATTATTGGCCCTCACCTGTCTCTCTATCCACCACAGAGACAAGCAGGGCCTCCTCGTCAAACCCCTCGAAGTCCACATCCTCACTATCACTGACTTGGGCTGGCTGTGGTGGTTGGCGGGTGAAGAACTCGGTGATGTTTTGTTGACAGTTAGCATTGATGTGGTCATGATACAGCTGAACATGGGGCTCCTGGCATTTCAACAGATGGTTATTAGACACTTTGTAGCGATGATTGACTGGGTCTTTGACAAGGATGAGCTTCATTCTCTCAGCTAACTCGATGACTTCCTTCACATCAGCATGTGTCAGTTTCTGCTCTTGTTGTTCTCTAACACCTCGCCGCTCACTGATGTCATCATCTTCCACTGTATATATTGAGTTAAAAAGAAATTAACCCATAGTGTATGCTGTTAACATTTATTTAAATAGAAAAGATAACAGGCACAGTGCATTGTAAATGTTGTCAGATACAATTGCTATCAAGCTGAGGGGATGGAGGGCAGAAGAGGAGTTGGGCAGTGAGGGATGTTTGGCAAGGATTTTATGGGCCTTTTAAGACCTTAATGGGAAGAGTAGGCAACACCTAGTACACCTCCGACCACCCATGCATTGTTCAGTATTTCAGCACAAAAAGTCATGGCCACACTCCAGGCTTTGTATGCAGGGTGGAGGAGGCACATGAGGGATTTCAGTCCCTTTGGCCTAGCTCAATAAAAGGTCAGATTATCAAGAGTTACTTGGAATTCCCATCTTGGTGAATTGGTTTGAAACATATAAACTTTGAATGATGAGATTTCACCTTAAACATTATGTACAGGCATCCCTTATTTTATGTGAGGGTTATGTTCTTGGAAAAATTTATTTATATAAAATTTGCACAAATGAATATTAACTTTGTTGGGATATAAAGAAAAGGAGCTTAGGACCTTAGTTACTACTCATCAGAATAAAGTTTTTCAAAGAAATACACTTAAATGTTGAATAATTGATGAGTCATTCAGCTTCACACACTACAGTACTGTATTGCACATGGTAAACACACATACATGAGTGATATAAACAGGGGGATGCTGTACATATTCACCTGTCAGCTGTGTTGATGCTCTTGCTAACCTGGCTTGCATTAGCCTCTGCTTTTAACTGGTTTGAATTTCTTTTCATTGGTGTGATAAAGCTTCCTGTTAGTTCCCAGGCTAGGAAGGTTTCTTGACCTGTTTTGAACTCATTATCTTAATAGTTAAGGTCAATGTGATCCAGTACTACACACACACACATCACTAATACGCTTTGTGAGGTACTAATGTGACTCTGAACCCACCCCATTGGCCAGCCTTTTCAGAATTAGGCAATGAATCTTTTTTTTTTCTTATTCTCTGAGTTCAAGATTTTTAT